CAGCATTTGGAATCAGGCAGGAGGATCAGGAGCTCAAGGCCAGCCTGGGCTACATGAAATACACACTCACAAAAGCATAAGTTGCCAACAAATACATGAAAACATGCTCAGCTTTAGAAAATACTAATTTAAAAACTACACAACAGGTACCACTTTAAATTTCCTCAGATTAGAGAAAATCTAAGTCTTATAATGGAGAGGAAGTGAAGCAACTAAAATACATACCGGTAGTCTCTTGACTCAGTCATCACAAGATGTTATCATGAGCCAATTCAGTGACTCAAAAAACTGAACTGTTTAGTAAGCACCAAGTAACTGATAATGAGCAAGGCTTGGGGATACAAGAGGCAGAGGCAGAGAATGAGTATGAGGCCAGCCTGGTTGACATGAAGTTCCAGGCCAGGCCATAGAAACTAATAATAATCAATCTAGTTCCAAAACCATACAAATTACTGTCAAATACAAACTGTGGTCTTTAGGTACAATTTACCAGAGCAACAGGAACAAAAAAACATTTAGCCCTTATCCAGTGTATCCTGGTTTGTTTGTTTTTTAGGTTTTGTGTGTGTGTGTGTGTGTGTGTGTGTGAAGTAAAAATATTCAGGTATTCACTTCCTCCTAGATACTGATGACATCATAAGGGACTAAAATTCTAAAGAACTATTTTCATTTCTGCACTGCTATTTCAGTGACAACAGTTTTATAGGCATGACTTTATAGGAATTGGAATATCTCTGTGATTACCTAAGAGGGGCAAAATGGATAACACATAGAATTACCATTCATATTGGACAGATTTGAATTCAAAATTCAGATTCTCCACTTTAAAACTGTAATTTGGGGCTAGAGAGATGGCTCACTGGTAAAGAGCACTGGCTGCTCTTGTGGAGGACCCAAGTGCAGTTCTCAGGATCAACAAGGCAACTAACTGTCCATAACTCCAATTCCAGGGAATCCAATGCCCCCTTCTGACCATTACAGGTACTGCACACATGTAGTATATACATGTAGGCAAAACTCTCATACACACAAAATAAATTTTTTTTTTTTAAAGAAACAGTAATTTGGGGGCTGGAGAGATGGCTCAGCGGTTAAGAGCACTAGCTGTTCTTGCAGACAACTGGGTTCAATTCCCAGCATCCACAGAGCAGCTAACAACTGTCTGTAACTCCAATTCCAGAGGAATCTGACAACCTCTTCTGACCTCCACGGTATTGCACAAGACAGGTACACTCACATACATTCAGGCAATACACTCATACACATAAAAAATAACAAAAATAATAAAAATAGGGGGCTGGAGAGATGGCTTAACGGTTAAGAACACTGGTTGTTCTTGCAGAAGACCCAGGTTCAAACTCAGCACCCATATGGCAGGTAACAACTGTCTGTAACTCCAGTTCCAGGGGATCCAACAGCCTCTTCTGTCCTCCGCGGGCATTGCATGACACAGGTACATTTACCTACATGCAGTCAATATACCCATACACATAAAATAAAAATAATAAATAAAATTTTAAAAAATAATAAAAATTTTTTTTTAAAAAAACTAAGAAACAGTAATTTGGAGGCAGAGGCAGGCAGATCTCTGTGAGATGAAGGCCAGCCTGGTCTACAAAGTAAGTTCCAGGCCAGCTGGGGCTACAGGGAGACCCTGTCTCAAAATGACAAAAAAAAAAAATTTGTTACTCTACCTTTCTGATAGTGTTTCCTCAATACACAAACAGCATGCATATCCCAAACATTCTACTTATTCAAACTATGAGGATTAAGCAAGATTATGTAGCATTTAACCGTCCTAGGTCACTAGAATATACCCAGTGTTTGTTTGCACTTACTCCTTTGAACTCTTACCCTATACCACCCCTTTTTTTGGGGGGGGTGGAGAATAGTCAAACACAGAGGCTCATACATGCCAGACAAGCCTGAAATTATAATTCTCAATTCACTAGAACATTTTATTTACATTCAAATTATTTCCAACTATTGGTTTGGAAATATTTCAACTATTGGTTGGAAAAGCAATATACTACTTGTTTCTTTTTCTAACCTAAAGAATTACTTTCAGCAAGAAAATTTCAAAAATCACATTATTTCCTGTAAAAAATCTGGAAGAGGATGAATCTTCACTTGTCTTAGAAGCAGGGACTCCCATTCTGTGTAAGAAACTCAACCTAGGTCTTTACAGCTAGAGTTTTTTTTTCTTTTTCTTTTTTGTTTTTTTCTCTCTGTAGCCCCAGCTGGCTGGAACTCGCTATGCAGACCAGGCTGGCCTCAAACTCACAAAGATCTGCCTACTGAGTGCTGGGATTAAAGGTGTGCGCCACCACACCCGCCCAGCTATCATTTATTTATATGCATGAGTGTTTTGCCTGCATGTATGTAAGTGCACTACATGCCTGTAATGCTCATGGAGGCCAGAGGAGGGCATTGGATCCTCTGGAATTAGTTATGAATAGTTGCTAGTCACCATGTGGGTGCTGGGAACCCAACCTGGGGCCTCTGCAAGAGCAGTCAGTGCTCGTAACTGCTGAGTCAAACCTTCGAGCCCATTTTTTTCTTTTCTTCCTTTTTTTTCTAAATTATTTTTGTTTTATGTGTATGAGTTTATTACTTGCATGCACATAAGTGCATCTATGTTGTACAGTGCCTGCAGAGGTCAGAAAAGGGCATAAATCCCCTGGAAATGGAGTGACAGATGGTTGTTAGCTGCCATGTGGGTGCTGGAAACCAAACCCTGCTGCCCCAGCTGCAAGAGCAGTCTGTGCTCTTAACCACTGACCCATCCATCTCTCTAGCATGTCCCCTCCTACTCCACAGGCACACATGCGCGCGCACACACACACACACACACACACACACACACACACACACACCCATGTCTTGCTATGTAGCCCTGGCTGACCTGGAACTCATGACAATCCTCTGACTCATTCTTTCAAATGCCAGGATTAGAGATATGCATCACCATGCCTGGCTAAAGGTATTTTTCGTTCTAAGAAAAAGTTATTTAGCAGGGTGTGGTGGTGCACGAAGGTAGTCCCAGCACTTGAGAGGCAGAGGCAGGCGGATCTCTGTTGAGTTCAAGGCCAGTGAGTTCCAGGATAGCTGGGGCTACAGGGAGACCCTGTCTCAAAAAGACAAAAAAAAAAAAAAAAAAAAAGAAAAAAAGAAAAAGCTTATTTATTCCAGCACTTAAGAGGCTAAGGTTGGAGGCTCAAAAGTTCAAGGTCAGGGATGGAGAGATGGCGGGGAATCCAAGAGCACTGACTGCTCTCAAAGAGGACCCAGGTTCGATTCCCAGCACCCACATGGCAGCTACAAACCGTCC